ATGTAGCTCTATTTTGCAATGAAAAAAATAGAAAATTTAAAAAATGCTACAAATCATAATAATATTTACCTCAATGCAACGATATTGATAATGTAAAGCAGGAAATAAAACATCAAACCATTTCAATAAAACTTTTCACATTCCAGTGTATGCATTTATAACATAACGGTTTTGAATACAATGATGTACAATACCATCAAAGTAATAATTCTTGGCATTAAACGCCTTATATCGTCTTTTGTATCACTTCCTCGATAATAATAATGTAATACCTAACGTGTTGAAGAGATGATATCCAGTTGCTCAACTGGATGCGTGGGGGCCGTGAACTTTAGTGGTTTGGGGGATCTCTCCAGGAACAATTAACATGTTTTTGCACTAATGCATTCTGAGACACCCCCCACCCCTACACTCCTCGTAAATGGAATATTTAAAGATTTTCAGTCTGTAGTTATGATATTTCACTAATTGATATATATCTGGTTGCTAAGTTTGATTATTTCTGAATAATTTAGTACAGTTTTGTACTTGTTTTTTTTTTCTGAGAGTGGGGCCCTCCTTATGGAGGAGGGGGGGGGGGGGGTGGAAGGGCGTTGACTTGGGACAAACAGTCTCTATGGTAGGTCCGCCCTCTGACTGACTACTCTTCACCGTATTGTGTATCTTCACACTGTGAATTTTTTACGAACTTCGTCTTATATCTTAACTTTTTAATGGAAAGGTAAGGGGTTGTCCAGTTACCACAACAAGTCTCATCACAATTGCTTTAGGTTCAGGACACAATCATCAAAACACAAAACAGTTGGAATATCGAACTGGACAGATACAATTACCACAAGGTTAGCCTACTGCTATTATTTACATAGATCTTGATTTCTTAATGGTTTTTAACAAGCTTTTTCTTCAGTAATTATAGTCATACTAATCCATTGTATAGCGGCTAAATTTACTGGAGTGGCATATATTACGGTGTGTGTAAAATGCCAACTTACTATTACGTATTAGTGGTGAGAGCCGACACAGGGAATCATTGGCACAGCCATCAGAATTTTTCTTACCTTGAAGAGGATTCGAACTCATGGAACCTAATCGCATAGCTGATGAAATTCCAACTGGGTGTTACGCAATTTGAAGTTGTTCTTTTAGATTCGATAAAAAACAGAAACCAAATGCAAAGACTGTTGTTAACAGCGTTATTCTAGTTTGTGCACAAAGCCAAATGCCAATCTTCAATCACAACTTGATATAACCTAATATAAGTGTGTTACCGGAAGAACAAAGCGTTTGGATTCTGTAATTACAAATTGATATACCGGTGTGTGTAAATTGCCAAAGTTTGGTTTCAAAACGTCGTTACAACATTGAAATGTGAAGGGACAAACAATTCTTCTCCAAAAAACAAAGAAGACAAGAAATAATATTGTAAAGTTGAATTAATTACGGTAGGTAGGTAGGTAGGTAGGTAGGTAGGTAGATGACAAGTGAACATTCGCTTCCAGCGGATGCTGATATCGCAAACTAGGTAGTTGTTGGTAGTCGTAGTAGTTGGTAGTTGGATTGGTTCAAATTGGATGATTTTGTGTTGTTGGTTTGGTTGTTGATTCTTCGTTAGATCTGGTCGGGTCGAATGAAATGGCGGTGAAACTCAGCCCTGGATGGTGTGGCGTGAGTTACTCGATCTCCTTCATTCTTCCAAACTCGTTCTGATCATGGTATTTCTTGTTGGTTGGTAGTCGAATGGTAGTCGTTGGTTTGGTTTGGTTTGGTTAGATTATCTGTTAATTACGTCCGTGACCGTCCAAGTATATGACATGAGAGCCACAAGGGAGGTAACTTGGCCTACTACAAGGGAGACAATTTAACAGAATTTAGATGAATCATTTTGTATCGATTCTTAAGGATGGGTTTCCTTATTTTTTTAGTGTCAAATTAAGCAAACTATTTGGTGTTTTTAAAGAATTATTATGTATTCTTAATCCTATCATTATGTTCTTATTGCATATAATTAAGAGTTCTGACCAATCATAAATACTGCTCATGTTTGTGCAGTCTGGATAAAAAAAAAATTTTGACCCTTATTCATCGGTCACTCATTTAAATTCTGCTGGTAATTCTCTTCTAATGTAGCTAATTATGAATTAATCATGTGAGACAAACTGATATTTTTCAAAGTCATTAAAACACCTCTACTTTCTATTCATATAAGTATTAGCATTTTCACTGGATGGAATCAATCTTTAAAGGGAGTTAAAGATTCCTTCAAAGAAATAGATGATAGATAAAACACACAACAACCAACAAGTCAAAGATAATCCCCAAGGATAATCATAGTGAAAGGTTTTCATAGTCAATATGGATTTCGGACACTAGCCAGATTTCAATCAATTCAGTCTGGCTTTTATTATAGAATATAATATACCTAAATAAACACTTTCAGATTGATTTATAAATGCCACTGTAGCCAAGGTACTCAAACACAATAACTCCGAGTGTCTGAATACACATGATCAGATCAAGTCACTATATCTCTCTACTGATCAGAGAAACAAACACATCCTATAATTGTGAATATGGTAGAGCATCGGTATAATGTACACCCAGTAAGCTATCGTATTATAGGGGAACAGCCATTTGGTCATGGCACTACCCTCACGACTGTGAAAGGTCTGATTTTGATGTGAAAATCAAGCCCTATAAATGCTCAAAATTCATCTAAAAAATCTTAAATCTGTCAGTCCCCAGTCCCCTGGCCTCAAGTTTCGCCTCGAAGAAACACCTATCATTTTTGGTCTCACACTCTGACCTTTTTAATAGATAATCCCCTTTTCTTCAAATAAATGGCCTTTATCAATCAGAATACAGATTTGTTACTACACGTAAAAGGTTGGTAGGGTACCGAGAGCCGGTAGATACAAATGTATTTGATGGGCAGTGTGACGTGTTACACGTTTAAAACAGTGTCTGTATAGAACAAAACATTGGTCAGAATAACGAACACACCGAGTTCTTCTATTTGAACAAAGGGTATTTTTTACTTTTCCAGACGTTCGATTTTTAAATTGAAGTATAAATATTAGAATTATTTGATCTTGTAATTCTGTTGTGGATTTTTTAGTTTATTGATACTAGCCTTTAAACATGGTGTATTTAATTGATGCCAGGTAAATGGCGTTATCGATAAAAAAAATTTCCAAGGGATACATCCTTTAGGGTCGTTAAAAATAAGAAAACTTTACCTTCCGATTTGGCTATTGAAGACATTTGCCATGCAAATATAAAGCCCCAGTCCCACATGCCTGGGCTTCAGCCCGGTTTTTTGGGTGAAATTTCGCAAAAAATGTCGAAATAGTTTTACAATCGCATACCCGGACAAGACACGGAGCCAAGGAGTAGACACGGGTGATGGCCGGAGTAGCCACGGACGACACCCAGATGTCCCGAGAGCAGACTCAGACTATCCCAGAGAGGACACGGAGTAAACAAGGTGTTGACCCTCAGTCCGGAAATGAGGAACTGAGGCTTCAAGAACACAAGATATACGAATATACTACTTTTGAGTATATTACTTATCTGTATGTGTTTCGAAACGTAGTATGTAACAAAACTCACAAAACGAATAATTAAACCACTATATACCTTTAAAAGTAGGTTAATATTGATACAAAATACCGATATATAGGCAAATTTGTAATTTGGGTTTTTATAATGAAAAACTGAATTCAATTTAAATTGTCTACTTCCTAAAGTTACAGTAATAAAATATTGTTAAAATGGTGTTCAGTTTATCAATCGTAGAGCGATATAGAAATACCACTGTTAAAATAGTGCTCAATACATCAATTGTAGAGCGATATAGAAATACCACTGTTATAATAGTGCTCAATACATCAATTGTAGAGCGATAAAGAAATACCAGTGTTAAAATAGTGTTCAGTACATCAATTGTAGAGCGATATAGAAATACCACTGTCAAAATAGTGCTCAATACATCAATTGTAGAGGGATATAGAAATACTACTGTTATAATAGTGCTAAAAAAAACATTGCAGAGCAATATAGAAATACCACTGCTGAAATAGTGCTAAATACATCAATTGTAGAGCGATGTAGAAATACCACTGTTTTTAATAGTGCTAAATACATCAATAGTAGAGCGATAGAGAAATATTTCTACTTCCTGAAGTTATATATATATGAAACCATCGATCATTATTAATTTCACTATAAAATTTATTGTAAAATTTATTAGCATTTCACCATTTGAGATGTTTGTGTACATTCGAGCACAATTCCAAACTTAAACTGACAACAAGTAAAATGGAATGCGTGTATAGTCATGTTGTAGTTGTCTTGAATCGTATCCGGATTGGCACAAATATCTTGGCATACATGTATATCACTGTTCATTAATTCTGATCGGATGGACTGACAGTTAGGATTCGGAACTACACTGAGACACTGTTTGCTACGAGATGTGCACGGCAAAGATCCCTTGATATTTGGAAATCCAAAAATCTTTCAAATTTTACATATTAAACTTCTAAGAAAATATTAAGGTTCTAAGAGATACTTTAAAAAAAAAAGTTCACAGTAAAAGGAAATAAAAAACGACAGATGTCCTCCATTATTTTGATTTCAATAGTTTCATTACGTTGTGTGAAATTTATTATACTTCTGGTTAGCCGGTTGCAATTAAATACCGATCCGGCCATAGGGACGTTAGTTTTAAAGCGATTATTGTCCTCACTATTTGACTGCATGTTACCGATTACATTGAAATGAATTGGAATCAGCATCAGAAGAGGAAAGTGCGTGAAAGTAAATATAAACAAGCTCCAGTCCAAGAAATTTTAACCAGAAATTTGGTTTTCCTCACTACAAAAATTATCTTATTGTCCATGTTAATATTTATATCAAAGCGAAGCTCTACATCTTTTGGAACAATTTTGTAATCACGTAAAATTCGATTTACCGACAAAAATCAAAGACAGAAAGCTAGGTTAATACTTGGCTATCCCAGCAAAGAAAACCTTCGCCGGTATCCAGTTTCTAGAATTATATCCCCAGCCCCAATGAACGTAAAATTCCCTTTCAACAAGCAAGCCTTCTTCACAATCGTTGAATAGCTTCTTACATTTCAGGCTTGGGAAAGCTCTTTGTTGGTATTTGGTCGCTACTGGATAGTGCTGTCCAAATCTTGACCCCTTTATTCGCATTCCAATTACCACGGGCCACCCTTCTCGAATATATTCCATAGCCTTGTCTCTGATTTCGTCGTTATAGTTACCAATCAAACTCCAAAACCCATTGCTATGTGTGATAACCTCTTGTTTGCCTGATAACTGATATTCGGTAAAAAAGGTTTCGATCTTCTTCATGCCTCTCGCGGTTGTTGCACCTTGTCCAAAAAGCCAGAAAGTACCTAAAAATTCCCCAAGCTTTTCTACGTATTTCTTTGTTTCGTTTGTTTCCAAACCAGGTGCCACGCACGAGCTGTTGCCCCCCATTCCCGTAGAACCGCACGTGAAGAGATTCTGGCTTCCATTTCCGTATTTGTATGGGTCGTTGTGTGAACGCCGGTCGTAATAACCCAATATCATAGCCCATGAGACTGGACCGCACCCCACAAACCGTTTACGACAATATTTGAAAAATATCATCTTACGGCATGTTTGTATCTTGTGTTGATCGTAATCGGGAAATAGATCCTCATCATCAATTGAATAGGACTGGTTACCTGGGACTGATCGTTTCACGCGTTTTACCAGATCAATGGCCACTTTTGTCGTCTGAATCGAACTTCCGGTCCTAGTGCTTATATCCATATATATCACATCTTCGCCTGAAAACGCAGGAGTTTCGTGTGGGACGATCAATTCAATATGCCTTTGTCCATACTTTGTCACCTTTACCTTCTGTCGATCAATTCGATTGATGTTGTCGGCCAAGCAGACGTCTAAAATATCACAGACATATTTCTGAGAGTTATAGTTCTTAGAAGCCTGTGTTTCAATATCGCCCGAATCGTAGTCACCTATCATAATGTGTTTGGTATGGCCTGGTTTTAGAAGATGATAATGGGTGGCACCATCATCTGTATACAGGCTGGACAAAGTCCAAACTCCGGCCTTCTTCACATCTTTTCGCTGTTCAGCCCATATCACTTTTAATTTATCCAGCTGAGTTATCACTTCCTGAAATGAACACAAACAATAGAGACCATTCATTCATTCATTCATTCATTCATTCATTCATTCATTCATTCATTCATTCATTCATTCACATCACATTACGTCACACTATATCATATCGTATCGTATCGTATCCTATAGACACACCACGTTTGTTCCGTTTTATTCAGTCAACTTTGGACTGTGAAAACCAATAGCAAAACTAGAACAATGAGGGCATTGCATTAAAGGGGAAGGTGTGCCATTTTGGGGGGTTGATTATAGTCTTGAATATATGTAAATAGTCTTCAGAAATACCAGAGCTGTATGCAAATCACATAATTACTTTAAATACTTCGAACTGGGTATTTAACTCACTATTTCTATATAAGTCTTTTCTATATATCACAGAGTATCAATTCGTCAATTCAAAGTCAAATACATATAATTCTCGACACATGGATTTGAAGTCTCAAATTGGTGAGCTGTGAACAATATTACCGATTAGCTCAGCTAAAACAATTCAGTTTCTGAGACTAAAGTATGAATGGTCAAAAACAAAAATGGCCTACCTGTCCCTTAAATCAGACCAAGTTTGCTCATAACAAAAGGGCACAATTTGATAGAACGAAATTTTGCTTTTGATACAAACCTTCTCTTGACAGAAAAGATTTCCTTTCTCATCTTCACAACCAAGGAGAAATCCCGGAGTCGGTGACATCATATAATACTTCTTACATGTTGAGTCTTTCCTCCTAACGAATTCATTCAGATCCACCAATGGCGAGTATTCTCCCTTCATTACTAACCTATAATCACCTGTATGGAAATTGAAGAGATTGTAAAAAGGTTTTCTAACTATTTTTTACAGTATTGTGGACACTGATAGCATCAATTTGCACCATTCCAATTTTCAATGAGACGTATGTGGTTCCTGAAATTCTACTAAAACTAATTGATAGATGACGTCACTGAAAGTTAGCCTTATTTTGAAGCATCACCTTTCTTATGCAAAGTGAAGAATATTATTTTGTATATTAAGGTTTCATTGCAGGAATTCGGCGCAACATACCTGTTTCTGGACCTGAAGACAGAATCATAAATTCCCCATCGTTATATTCGATCAACCAGTACGCAGCATAATTTTCATTTAAATCTTTTCGATAAATTGGTACTGGATTGTCTGAAATAGATTGGAGTTTTACGTCGACATCTTTTTAGATAATTGATTAATTTCGAGTTTTGCGTTAAATAGACGGGTGTTGATTTTGATTTAGAATATATGTAAATAGTCTTCACAGGTACTAGAAATGTACAAATATGGCATAATTCCTTCAATTCCTATATTAGAAAAGACGACTTAACTTTCAAACGCGGATTATTCTGAACACACAAGGCTTAACTTTCCACTGTGAACACTATTACTGATGAGCTTAACTAAACAAATTCCCGTTTCTGAGACTAAGGTACGATTGGTCAATCGAATGGTGAAACTGTCCCTTTAAAGTACATAAATCGAGCAAAGATATTTAGACACATTGGTTCTTCTATAAAAAAAAGATACAAAGATACCACTATATTTTAAAGTAATATAGGTAGTAGTGCTGCCACGATATACCGATAAATCGATATATCGCGATACGACATGCCACAATACGCGCATCGTATTGACAATACCTTATCATTCTGGCATGTGATATCGCGATATATCGATTTACCGGTATATCGTGCCAGCACTACTACTTATATCACTTTGAAATAGAGTGGTTTCTTTGTATATGTATTTTTCTCGTTGACTAAAATTGTTGGAAACTATTTATATGAAGGTAGACGTTACCTACGTTACCAAATATCACAGTTATAAAGTTATAAATTAATATTATTCAATTTTCCCAAGAATGAAATGTATTGTTCAGGTTTATGTTTTGTATCAGACCCGGATGTCCATAAATATATTTGCTCTATTATCTATAGTGTCCTAAACAATACATATGATCTCAGACCACTAAAACTTTTTATACTAATGATTGTATTCGAATGTAGTCCGAGCTAATTTTACCAATCCTGTTTCTCCCTCCCTTTTTGAGGTTTCTGCATGCATGTATTTAGTCTAGATTTGGAATTTGAAGTTTCGTCCAGAAACTAAGTATAGGCCAGGCTTTCATGTGACATGTGACATATGTTTGCAACGAGATTTCTGGAAAAAGTTATAGAAGATTGAATTTGTAATTAATATGGAAAGAGATGACAAGTCAATTAGTGGAGTCCATATTCATTTGAAGAGAGTCGAATCTAGTTTATTCAATTAAATAAAATATTAAATAAATGGAGTAATTGGGCTAGTAATGATGGGCAACGCCACCTAAAAAAGACACTTTTTATCATTATATAATGGTAACGATTGCGATTTTTTGGGAAAGTATGCGCACTTTTTTCCTGCCTAAAAATAAATAAAAGTTTGGCATTGGATAAAACCTTAATCGTACCGTTTATAGTCTGGATGTCAAAGTCTTGATGTAAATCCAGTATTGTTGATTTTGTATTCCAGGGTAAGATATCTTTCCAGTTACTTTCAACAAGTCCAATACACACCAGCAGAAAACACCATTTTACAGGAGTCATCTTTACAACTTTAATAAAACGAATCCTCATCATATGTACTATAATCCTTAAGCGACTTTAGGGGGTATAGATCACTTTAAATAACGGAAGACAAATTTATGGTATAGGCCACTACTCCCTGAGTTAAATTATATTCAACGTTTCAACAATATACATAATCAAATTAAATTGTTTAAATGTCGCATACACTAAAAACTCGGGATGGGTATATCATTTGTGTTTCGTTATATGTTTATTTATACATAGAACTAGTATATAACACAATATGGTGAATATTACAAGTAAAAACAGAGCCAGTTATCTCACTTACAACGTAATTTTTGTTGTTTGAAATCCAGAATGAGCAGCCTCATGCTTATTTCCCTCACTAAATGGAATTAATCGTTTTCATTGACTAAATAAAAGAAAGAGTCGGCCGCAAAACTACTTCTTTTCTTATCTACTTTTTTATCAAGGAAAGCTGAAAGGTGTATTGAGACGAATCAAAAAGAAATATCGGTAACTATTCACAATACATATATAGGATTATGTAGACCATAACATCCAATCCCATCATCTCTTATGTAAAAATACCTGTGTGTTTAACACTCTTAAATTACATCAAACTCGACAAATAGAAACGAAATATCTAATTACCTCTCAATCCTATGTACATACACATATATTTGTAAAATCAAAATGGAGTAATAGACGATTTCTTCCGTGTAGGATTTTATTTATAGTAGGTTTATCTATGCCATTGTGTATAGCCTTAAAAGGTGATTTTCGGGGTTTTTTCGATCTACATCCGGGTTTACTATTGTGCTGTATTTAAAACGAATGGTATTGAATCGGACTATGGTATAGTAAGTTCTGTAGAAGTCGGTTGTCAATAGCGAGGGTCAGTATGTTTACCCCCCATGCAACAATGGGTTTGTCAACTCGGCTATCTATTAGGCAGTTCCACATAGCCAATATTGGTAAATATGGTATTTTAATCCAAAGGAAAATGATAAAATGTTTTTGGCACCTTCACAATGTTTGTAACTGGGTTTGTCAACTGAGTTTTCCTTCCATAGAGTCCACAAAACTAATATTGTTTATTTGGTACTTTAAATTCGCCTTTCTGAGACTAAAGTATGATTGGTAACAAAAAATAAATGGCCCATCTGCCCCTTTAAAGATCTGAAATGCTTAAAATTGGCAAAAAATTGGACATTATATGTCTAATGTTTTCAGAAAAGCTGGACCATATAAGACTATAGAGTGATATCATTAGGTCAACAGATATTCAAATTGCCAATAATAGGGTAAGGTTACAACGTGTTTGGTGTATGAATGGGAAAAAAAGCCCAGTGTCACATTACGTCAAATTTGAACTAAACTGAAATTTTCCGAAGTGTGAGTCATTGAGTGGACAGAAGAGGAAATTATTGTACCTACAGAAACACTATAAACTTATATATTGTTGAAGAATGTGTAGTTTTCTCTGACAGAGATTATGGATAACAGGCAACCAATTTAAATAAAGGTTGATTGAATACATGACGTATGCCTTTGTGTTAGCGTGATGACGGTATCCTATACTACTGTGTAAGCTTAAAGACAACAGTAATCTTGTTGAGAAAGCTTAAGTATGGAATGTCAAATATCCTACTGTTTAAGCTTAAAGATAGTGGATAAAGATTATCATACTGTGCAAGTATAGAAAATGAAATGAATGGAGTTTTACGTTCTACTTTGGTCAAGTGTAAAGATAGTGGACATCAAGTATCATTTTATAAAAGCTTACATATTATGGACAGTTTTCTTACCATGTACATTTGTGGACAACTTTAGAAGTTTAAACAAGCGGACAAGTGCACATACAAATATATTGGATAAGAAGCACAACTTATTAATATGAATGACAAGTAGCCTACAAGTTTTTATCACGGGGACAACGGACATCATACCATTACAGTTGTGGGCGAAATGCAGCCAAAACCCTAAGATATACCGTAAATTAAACAATAACTGAAGTTACGATAAACATCATCGTGTATAATGATATAATAACTTTCTAAAGACTGTGATTGAAATAAGTAAGTGATAGAGGTAACTCAGACATAATGATGAATAGTGTAAGACTGTTAGTTCTTGGTCTATTGTTTGTGTTTTACTCTATGTGTAATTGTGAGAAAGATGCGTGTAGTTTAAAACTGTGTAAATGTGTGAAATCTAAAGTGAAATGTAGTAACACTAATTTGACTTATATACCTGTACTTCCCAATGGAACTATCAGGTTATTTTTTGATGGTAATTATCTCCCTTTGATCAATGAACACACCTTTTCCAATATTACACACCTGAGATACTTGGAGGAGATCACATTTCAAAACTGTCAAATCACACACATTTCTACTAATACTTTTAAATTTTTAGAACATTTAAACCAATTGTGGTTCTCCTATAATCCATTGACGACGGATTCATTGTTAAATTTATTTTCTGATTTGAAAAATAGTTTCTACCATATATTAAAATTAAAACAGATCGGGTTAAGTTTTATACCTGAAGGTTTGTTTAAAAATAATTTTACTTTATCTGCGCTTGACTTATCTTACAATGCTCTTAAGACACTCAATTTCACAGAATTTAACTCATTGGGTCTAAAAGGGTTAAAAGTTGAAAATAATTTAGTCGAGACAATTATAATTGATAAAATGATCAATTTACGAGAATTATACTTAGGTTCAAATAATATCAAATCACTTCCAAATTTTTGTCAGGATAAATCTTATTTCCCTTCATTGGTCCATTTAGATATACAGGTTAATAGTATCTGTGAGTATCTTCCTCAATATATGAACTGTTTAAAAAACCTTTCTAAAATCTATCTCAATCATAATTGTATATCATTGATTCAATCAGGATCGTTCCAAGAGTTATCTTCTCTTAAACAACTCAGTATATCAATACAGAAAAATTCTAAATCAACATTAACACTAGAAAAGTATTCTTTTAATAATTCAAATCTTGCAAAATTAAGATTAGCTAATAATGATATGAAAATAAAAAATATTAATCCATTGGCGTTCAGTGGCTGTCATGGAGTCAAATATTTATCATTTTCTGATAATTCTTTGAGTGACCCCGGAAGTTCTTCTTGTACACATTTGGACCAAGCTTTATCAAAACTCACTTCCTTGCAATATTTAGATCTCTCTGTCACCAGGATAAACGAAGTACCAAAATCTATTCAAAACTTCACCGAACTGGTGTTTCTTAATCTTTATGAGAATGGGATATCAAACTGGGAAGACAGATTTTGGGATGGAAACGGCATGTTATCTACTTTAGATCTCGGTAAGAATTCTATAAAAAGGGTATCAAAAGAGATGTTTCCTGCGAAATTTAGAACACAATTAAGAACATTATCACTTCAATATAATCCAATTGAGTGTATTTGTGACAATGTTTGGTTGATTGAGTGGATAAATAGAGATCATACAAAATTTAAAAAATTTCCTCGTAAATATGCATGTTTAAATATGACAGAACAAGTTTGTATTCAGCACAGTTCGGCTTATACGTCAATAACTGGGGTTTGTTGTGTTATATTTCTTTTATTTATCTTAGTATCTATTGTTTATAAATATAGATGGTTTATCAAATATCAGATTTATATCTGGCAACATCAACCTAAACTCTTAAACGATATGGCGGAACGACAGTACCTCTATGACGTCTTCGTTTCATACTCCGCTGCGGACGATTGGGTCTTGGATGATCTGGTACCACATTTGGAGAGAAATGTGGACATGAAACTCTGTATACATGAAAGAGATTTCCAGGCTGGTAGATTGATTATAGATAATATTGTAGAATCCATTGAAAACAGTCGTCGTGTTTTAATTGTATTAAGTAATAATTTCGCTCGAAGTGAATGGTGTCAATTTGAAATGACACTAGCTCAGAAACATGTTTTAAATCGAGCTATGGAACCTTTAAGTGTAGTTTTATTAGAAGATATAGACAGTGAAAATATGAGCAATTCACTCCATGCTTTATTAAAGACAACTACTTATATAACTTGGTATAATGATATAGAATATATTCACTTGTTTTGGGATCGACTGAAGAATTCCCTTATATAATATACTTATATAGCCTTATTTTATATAACAATAGATAACTGAAGATAACTTATATAATATATTTGTTATAACCTTATGTTATATAACAATAGATAACTGAAGATAAGTTATATAATATATTTGTTATAACTTTATGTTATATAACCATAGATAACTGAAGATAACTTATATAATATATTTGTTATAACCTTATGTTATATAACAATAGATAACTGAGGATAACTTATATAATATATTTGTTATAACCTTATGTTATATAACAATAGATAACTGAAGATAACTTATATAATATATTTGTTATAACCTTATGTTATATAACAATAGATAACTGAAGATAACTTATATAATATATTTGTTATAACCTTATGTTATATAACCATAGGTAACTGATGATAACTTATATAATATATTTGTTATAACCTTATTTTATATAACCATAGATAACTGAAGATAACTTATATAATATATTTGTTATAGCCTAATGTTATTTAACAATAGATAACTTAAAGGGATTGTACAGAGGTTTTCTGAATTTTGTATGTGTATCGGGGACACTGTTAGCATCAATTTGCACCAGTCCAATTTTCAATCAGACGTCTGTGGTTCCGTCATGTGTTTGATGACGTCACTTATCGCTAAGGGTCTTATGTGATGAAGCTTATTTTGCGATAAGTGACGTCATCAAACACTTGGTTATAGTGGAAATGCAGGAACTACAATCTGATTGAAAATAATAATGATACAAGTTGATGCTATCGGTGTCCCCGATACACATACAAAGTTAAGAAAACGTCTTTATAACCCCTTGGGAATAACTTACATAATATATTTGTTTTAGCTTTATGTAATATAACCCTCTGAAGAATTCCTTCCGATGATTAACATGGTTTGAATTATAAGATTATAGCTTGGTGTGATGAAATAGAATAAATTCACTTGTCTAGGGATCGAACTTTTCGAGCATGACCTGAATTAAATTAAAATAATGTGAAATATTCAAAATAGCATCAAATTGTTTATATAAATACCTATGCTATTACGGCATAGCACCGAATTGTCGCTCTACAAATCATATTTGAGCACTATGTCAACAGTGAAAAAAAATTATTATTGTATATATATATATACTTGCTATATAATTGTGGTCATTTTGGTTAGTAAGGTAGTAAAATTGTTCACGTTTTTTTATTCTTTTCACTGACCCCACTTGTATACAAGTTTAGTGTAGTATTTCAAACGTTTCGAGAAATTTATATTTAGAAATATTAAAACATAACTTGCATTTTTTGTTATTTTGTTTATATACTTAGCATTTATCAATTTTCAGTATGGTAGTATTTTGTAATTGATCTAAAATAAATTAGATTTTGAAACCAGTGTTTTTATGGTCCTTTGAAAGTTGAACGTCGAATTAATTGCACAAGGTTGAACCCTATAAGCATAAAGATTCCAGACAAGTTGAACCCTATAAGCATAAAGATTCCAGACAAGTTGGACCCTGTCATCTTAAAGATTCCAGACAGGTTGAACCCTATAAGCTTAAAGATTCCAGACAAGTTGAACCCTATAAGCTTAAAGATTCAAGACAAGTTGGACCCTGTCATCTTAAAGATTCCAGACAGGTTGAACCCTATAAGCTTAAAGATTCCAGACAAGTTGAACCCTATAAGCTTAAAGATTCCAGACAAGTTGAACCCTGGCATCTTAAAGATTCCAGACAAGTTGGACCCTGTCATCTTAAAGATTCCAGACAGGATGAACCCTATAAGCTTAAAGATTCCAGACAAGTTGAACCCTGTCATCTTAAAGACTCCAGACAGGTTTAACTCTATAAGCTTAAAGATTCTAGACAGGTTGAACCCTATAAGCCCAAAAATTCCAGACAAGTTGAACCCTATAAACTTAAAGATTCCAGACAAGTTGAACCCTATAAGCTTAAAGATTCCAGACAAGTTGAACCCTGTCATCTTAAAGATTCCAGACAAGTTGAACCCTGTCATCTTAAAGACTCCAGACAGGTTGAACTCTATAAGCTTAAAGATTCTAGACAGGTTGAACCCTATAAGCCCAAAGATTCCAGACAAGTTGAACCCTATAAACTTAAAGATTCCAGACAAGTTGAACCCTATAAGCTTAAAGATTCCAGACAAGTTGAACCGTGTCATCTTAAAGATTCACGACACATTGGACTCTATAAGCTTAAAGATCCCAGACACATTGAACCCTTTAAGCTTAAAGATTGAACACAGGTTGAACCCTATAAGCTTAAAGATTCCAGACATGTTAAACCCTATAAGCTTAAAGATTGCACACAGTTTGAACCCTATAAGCTTAAAGATTCCAGACAAGTTGAACCCTATAAGTTCACATAGCTAATATTGTTTGTTGATACATTGACATTTATAAAACTGTATACGTTTTATTCTAGTATTATTGTTTTTAGTTTTATTGAATTATATTGTATGTTTATGTTTGTTTTCACGTTTACCTTGTGTTATTAACCTTGACCACTATATTACGAAATTTAAATAACGTGAAGCGAAAACATTTAATACAAATCTGTTTATATCGGATGAACAAGAATAGAACTGAATTGATCCCTTCGACTCTTACAATCAATTCGAACCATCATTAAAGGGAACATGTTCAACCAGCCGTATACAATTATTGATAGTCGCGGTCTATTAGGTCCTTTTGAATAACTTAAGATACACGTACTTCTAAAAATACTCCTCCAAACAGTCGCCAACAAGTAATATTGTCACCTAATTGGTAAATTAATCTCATGTGGTCAAAGGTAACTTCGTCACAGTAATAGAGCCACAAGGTAATTTGGTCACAAGATAAATGTGGTCACAAGATATATCGGTTGTGGTAATATGGTCTCAAGATATATTGGTTGTAGTAATATGGTCACAAGATATATTGGTTGTAGTAATATGGTCACAAGATAAATGTGGTCACAAGATATATCGGTTGTAGTAATATGGTCACAAGATATATTGGTTGTAGTAATATGGTCACAAGATATATTGGTTGTAGTAATATGGTCACAAGATATATTGGTTGTAGTAATATGGTCACAAGATAAATGTGGTCACAAGATATATCGGTTGTAGTAATATGGTCACAAGATATATTGGTTGTAGTAATATGGTCACAAGATATATCGGTTGTAGCAATATGGTCATAAGATATATAGGTTGTACTAATATGGTCACAAGATATATTGGTTGTAGTAATATGGTCACAAGATATATTGGATGTACTAATATGGTCACAAGATATATTGGTTGTAGTAATATGGTCACAAGATATATAGGTTGTACTAATATGGTCACAAGATATATTGGTTGTAGTAATATGGTCACAAGATATATCGGTTGTAGCAATATGGCCATAAGATATATTGGTTGTGGTTATATGGTCACAAGATATATTGGTTGTAGTAATATGGTCACAAGATATATCGGTTGTAGTAATATGGTCACAAGATATATTGGTTGTAGTAATATGGTCTCAAGATATATTGGTTGTAGTAATATGGTCACAAGATATATGGTCACAAGATATATTGGTTGTAGTAATATGGTCACAAGATATATGGTCACAAGTTATATAGGTTGTACTAATATGGTCACAAGATATATTGGTTGTAGTAATATTGTCACAAGGTATATTGGTTGTAGTAATATGGTCACAAGATATATTGGTTGTAGTAATATGGTCTCAAGATATATTGGTTGTAGTAATATAGTCACAAGATATATCGGTTGTAGTAATATGGTCACAAGATATATTGGTTGTAGTAATATGGTCACAAGATATATTGGTTGTAGTAATATGGTCACAAGATATATCGGTTGTAGTAATATGGTCACAAGATATATCGGTTGTAGTAATATGGTCACGAGATATATTGATTGTAGTAATATGGTCATAAGATATATTGGTTGTAGTAATATGGTCATAAGTTATTTGGTTGTAGTAATATGGTCACAAGATATATCGGCTGTAGTAATATGGTCATAAGATATATTGAATGTAGTAATATGGTCACAAGATATATTGGTTGTAGTAATATGGTCTCAAGATATATTGAATGTAGTAATATGGTCACAAGATATATCGGCTGTAGTAATATGGTCATAAGATATATTGAATGTAGTAATATGGTCACAAGATATATCGGCTGTAGTAATATGGTCTCAAGATATATTGATTGTAGTAATATGGTCACAAGATATATTGATTGTAGTAATATGGTCACAAGATATATTGATTGTAGTAATATGGTCACAAGATATATTGATTGTAGTAATATGGTCACAAGATATATTGATTGTAGTAATATGGTCACAAGATATATCGGTTGTAGCAATATGGTCACAAGATATATTGGTTGTAGTAATATGGTCACAAGATATATCGGTTGTAGTAATATGGTCATAGAATATATTGAATGTAGTAATATGGTCACAAGATATATTGATTGTAGTAATATGGTCACAAGATATATTGATTGTAGTAATATGGTCATAAGATATATTGATTGTAGTAATATGGTCACAAGATATATCGGTTGTAGTAATATGGTCATAGAATATATTGAATGTAGTAATATGGTCACAAGATATATTGATTGTAGTAATATGGTCACAAGATATATTGATTGTAGTAATATGGTCTCAAGATATATCGGTTGTAGTAATATGGTCATAGAATATATTGAATGTAGTAATATGGTCACAAGATATATTGATTGTAGTAATATGGTCATAAGATATATTGGTTGTAGTAATATGGTCACAAGATATATCGGTTGTAGTAATATGGTCATAGAATATATTGAATGTAGTAATATGGTCACAAGATATATTGATTGTAGTAATATGGTCATAAGATATATTGGTTGTAGTAATATGGTCACAAGATATATCGGTTGTAGTAATATGGTCACAAAATATATTGGTTGTAGTAATATGGTTACAAGATTTATTGGTTGTAGTAATATGGTCACAAGATATATCGGTTGTACTAATATGGTCACAAGATATATCGGTTGTACTAATATGGTCTCAAGATATATTGGTTGTAGTAATATGGTCATAAGATATATTGGTTGTAGTAATAAAGTCACAAGATATATTGGTTGTAGTAATATGGTCACAAGATATATCGGTTGTAGTAATATGGTCTCAAGATATATTGATTTGTAGTAATATAGTCTCAATATATATTGATTGTAGTAATATGGTCACAAGATATATTGATTGTAGTAATATGGTCACAAGATATATCGGTTGTAGTAATATGGTCTCAAGATATATTGGTTGTAGTAATATGGTCTCAAGATATATTGATTGTAGTAATATGGTCACAAGATATATTGGTTGTAGTAATATGGTCACAAGATATATTGATTGTAGTAATATGGTCTCAAGATATATTGGTTGTAATAATATGGTCTCAAGATATATCGGTTGTAGTAATATGGTCACAAGATATATGGTCACAAGATATATCGGTTGTAGTAAAATGGTCACAAGATATATTGGTTGTACTAATATGGTCTCAAGATATATTGGTTGTAGTAATATAGTCTCAAGATATATTGATTGTAGTAATATGGTCACAAGATATATCGGTTGTAGTAATATGGTCACAAGATATATTGATTGTAGTAATATGGTCACAAGATATATTGGTTGTAGTAATATGGTCACAAGATATATTGGTTGTAGTAATATGGTCACAAGATATATTGGTTGTTGTAATATGGTCACAAGATATATCGGTTGTAGTAAAATGGTCACAAGATATATTGATTGTAGTAATATGGTCACAAGATATATTGGTTGTAGTAATATGATCACAAGATATATTGGTTGTAGTAATATGGTCACAAGACAGCGATAGAAATACCAACTTTTCTACGGCATTTGAGCAGGGTAATTGACCTATCCCAACAACGAGGTAACCAGTTACATCTGTACCGAAGGTAATGCTACGATCTGTTTTATGGCCCAATGCCATCTATAGTCCGCCCTGCCTCAACATTTACCTTCATAATATGTTATGACCTCTATAGATAAATAGACGAATATATCCCTTAATAGTACATACTAGTATGAGTAAATACATGATGGGTATTACTTGTATCACTTGCATAATATACCTAACCTTGGACAACAGCTAAAGGTACGTCTATACTTGATATTTGTTCAACCTAAAAAAATGAAAACACACAACACACAACTATTGAAAATGAGCATATATTTAATGATTAGTTTCTCTTAGGCCAGGGATTTCAACCTGGGGGTATTAACCAAAAAGAAGGTAATTTTGAAATTTTTTGGGGGGTTAATGGGGCGTATTGCAGTCTTGTAAAAAATATTTTAACAATTATTATTAGAGTCAGTTTATTTAGTCAGAAATGGACAAGTTTTCAGGCAAAACTGCAGATAAAATCGACAAATAGTAAGGATACATGTCTATTGGGGAGAGGAGAGGGGGGTTGGTAATGAATTAGATCAAGGATCCTGACAGGGGTAACAGAAAGAAAAAGGTTGAAAACCCCTGCTCTATGGAGTCTACTTTCAGTTGCATTTAGTAAAGTCGCAAGTATGTAATTATTGTTGGCCATACATTGATTGTGTCATGCTATTTAACATGTTAGGAGAGACTCATAATCATGCAGAGTTACAACTAGGTTATTAACATGCATAATAAAAGAAGTATGAGTGACTAAAGCATTTTATTCTAGTCAATTTCAAAGGGTGTTTTTTCTTCTTACTTCTTTTATTATACAATAACATAGAGTGATACAGCATTACATTCAATTATATTTCTTAACATGTGAATCGTGGAGTTAACGGGATTGTTATAGAAAATGAAATGATATGAATTGAGTTTTACGTCCTAGTTTTCTGCACCATGTGGGCTAATGAAGACGGCCAACGCCATGCAAGATGCAATGAGGGAAATTTTGCCAGAAGAGTGGCATTAGCCTGCTCTTTTTCGATTTCCTACTGTCGAGGGATCTTTAACGTGCACAGCCTGTAGCACATGGGGCCTCGGTTTATTGTCCCATACAAACGACTAAACTGCATCACTAACAGGGGGAAACCGGGTTAAAAATCGACCCATGCCGGGATTGAACCCTTGACCTTCGGGTCAGCGAGCACGCGTCTAACTCACTGGGCCACGGATTGTTAAATAAATTTTTTTATGTGTATTGGGG